ACCACACGGGCCAGCCTTCACTCCCCATGTGCATCATTGAGACTTGGCCCCCCATGACCCTGTCTGCGGTTCACCACTTTTGATAGGTACTGACCACTGCTGATCGGGAACACCCCGCAAGAGCTGGAGTTTTAGAGATGCTCTGACCCAGTCGTCTAGCCATCCCAATTTGGCCCTTGTCAAAGTGCCCATTTTTCCTGCTTCTAACACATCAACTTTGAGGACTGCCTGATATATCCCACCCACTGACAGGAGCCATGATAACTAGATAATCAGTGTTATTCACTTCACCGGTCAGTGCTCACAGTATCATGGCTGATTGGTGTATAACCCTGCGTTGTAAAATGACAAGTAAATTACCTTCTATTCTTATATGTTGCTCAATTTGAGTCAGTCGAGAACAAGACCTACAACCTGTAGACTCAGCATTCCCTCCAGCTCATAAAAAATATGACAGTTATGAATGTCATTTGGAAAGTGAAACATGTCTTACTTGTCTGTGGACATCATTTAACATGTACAACATAATAACAGAATGCACACACTCACATACTCACGGTTCACAATTTCAAGGCCTAACCCAATCTCACCTGATGTAATAGAATAGTTGTTGTATGTTTTGTACTGTATTGATTGTATTGACCCCAGGAAGACTTGAGGCACATTCATGCTCTTGCTATGCAGATTCATATAAACAATTAACAAACAATAATAAAACCCAAAAATAGGTTGAGACCCACAGACCTACATTTGCGCCCCACTGGGCTTAGGTCATTTGCAGAACTCTAATTGGATGCTGGTTGATAGGCCTGCAATTTCCTCCATTAGGAGGCATCTGTTCTAGATGCCCATTAGCCAATGTGTTCTACTTTCCTCTGTGGCACTTTTGTTTTGAGACTGTACTGTAAATGCTGTTTTGCGACCAGTGGTTTCCAATTTTGGTCTCCCAAAAAGGGCTAACCAATTATCACCATTTCTATCTTAACTCAGCTTTTGGTTTCTCTTGTAGTGTCAAAAGGCTATCTCTTTAGAATGCCTGTGATAAGATCTCAAAGTGGTTATATCTTCACAGTGGTATGGCTATGGTAAAAACATTTCTAAGCTGTGACGTTGTCTCACAGACAACACAATGGCATTCATGTCCAAAAGATTTAAAGCATTGACATATATAAAGATGAACGACATGACAGCTCTCCAAAAGCGAAGCCAAAACATCTTGATCACCCTTTGGTGGCTGACTGCACTATAGATCATAAAGCCTGCTGCCTCTATGTTAATAGATGGGACTAAAAAAATCACGTCAAATATAGTTTTCTATATAATGGTTTCCTCCATTTTAGGTAGTTCTTATCACACTAATGTATGTTGAAGTGTTCATTTTTTTGATCAGTTAGTTTTTTGTTGCTTTTAAAACTAGGTTTTACATCATGATTCAATTCAATTTTATTTGTATAGCACCAAATCATAACAGAAGTTATCACAGGGCACTTTTCAAAGAGAGCAGGTCTAGTCTTATTTACAGAGACCCAACAGCTCCCATCATGAGCAAGCACTTGGAGACAATATGCAATTTATACAAGTGTGATGTAGACAACTCATTATTGTTAAGCTATACAGTATGTAAGTATTTTCAGTGTTTCTTACATAATTGGACTTTTTTAAACTTCAGTGTAAAACTTTACAAAATGATGTCAACAAACGTGCAGCAGGATCAGGAAACATTGGTAACTTACAGTTAATTTAGATTAATTGATTATCTATCATATAATTTTAATAGTGATTGGCATAGTGGGGGTTACACTATTTTGATTTGACTACAAATCCACTATCCGTTTAACTTTATAACAGAAGCTAAAGGCGAGGCAGGCTGCTGCTGTCATTCCGTAACCATGGAAGATAAACTGTAACCATGCAAAATGAACAATTTTAACTATAAACAGGAGTTGCCATTTAACTATACAGCAAGAAGTAAAACAGAGGAAAATAGGTAGGTTTAATTATTGTTGTATATGTCAAATATAGCAATAGTATTGTGTAGTTTATTGTAATTTTACAGGTGTGATCTAGTAGCTATAGCTAACTGTTAGTTAGCTGTATCAGGCTAACCATAAGTTGTTCATTTTAGAAATTTGTGTAATTATAAGCATTGATATTGTGGACTTAACACATAGAGGAACATGAATTATGTTAATTGAGTATTAATTCATCTTAATTCTACTGATGTCATTCACACTTCCCTGATGAGTAGCTGGGAATTATTAAAATGTTGGTTAGCTAACGTTAGCTAGCTTGTTAGGTTCAAGTAATCTAACTTAGCTCAGTTAGGTTGACTGTGGTTTTCTCTTGCAGGCGTGCAGTTTATTCACCTTACTTATTTGGCCTTATGTTAATGAGTTTATTGCTAATATGTTTGTAAAACACAATGACTTATAAGATCTTAATCATGAGCTATCATCCAAAACCCCCCAGAAAACTCTCAAACCACCAGCCCCCAGGGTTTAAATAGTTGCCTTTTAGCAAACTCACAATAGAGAAATGTAGAATTTCATATTGTTAAGAACGTAATAAACAGTGAATTTTAATGTCTAGAGAAGGAATGGAAGGAAATGACACAGAATATTAAATATATTTAATAGCAATGTATAGATGGCTAGGTAGGCTAATTACATTTCAATATTTAATGTGATGTATCTTCTTATGTAAGAGGATGTTGTGCAATGACATTATAGTCCTTCAGTTTGTGGTGCTGTAGTTGACAGATGTGAATGGGTGTGTTGACAGATGATTGGCTAGTTGGGTTTGGACTTTGGAGTAGTTATGGTAAACATCTGATAATCTGTCATAATTTCATTGGCTGGAATGTTTTAGTTCCCTCCGCTGGTCAACATTCAAGATACAACGACCATGTTACATCTGGCATTTTAATGTTCAATAAAAGAGGACGGATCATACATTCTTTCCCTTATCACACACTTTTTATTATGTTAGTTAATCATTAAATGACAGGATAATAATAAGTAATATTGTTTACTAAGACAGCAATGCAAAGTTGGTTTGCTCAATTTCAGTTTCTCTTTACTGTACACACTGTCTCTAACTGAAACTGAATTGAAAGACTTTTGATGGTAGGATATGAAAATCCAGTAATCCTTGTTGTTTGAGAAAATGCCCAGAGAATTTACAGATTTGCCTTACAGCTGTGAATGTATGTTATAGTTACCATGGAGGAAGTCATGCTGACATGTTCAAGCTCAGATGAGCGTGGAGCCCAGAAGGTCAGGACTCAAATGGACACCCTCCCTGACCTCCGCAACCAAATCCTACAGCTGCTCGAGACCAGACTTAGTGAAACCTCCATCATGGTTAGTATACTATAATGTAAACATTATTCATTTATTTTTGAACTGTAATATTCTAAAAAATACAGTACTTTTTTTACAAGTAAAATATAGTTTTTAACTATAATTTTATATCAAATCTTGGCTTTTTAATATTTGCCAATTTGTCAATTAGACTTACTGGGTCTTTAAACCTTAAAAACCTTCAAGTGTACATGTGCTGTCTAAGGGATATGTTACAGTATGAACAGTTGATGCAGAGATTCATGAGTTTGTGTGATTTATTTTCAAGATGTTGCAGGAAAAACTGCGGCTCATGCAGAGGTGCTCGTACTACTTGGAAATCCTGCGCGAGGATTTGCTACCAACTGCAGACCAGATGCATCAAGTACATTTGTCTGACCAGATGCTGTGGTCTCTCATTGACCAGCAGAGGTTGCAGAGTGCCATGACCCTGGGTAACACCCAGGTAAAGCTCCTCCTCACTCTTCTGGGAATGCTCTACCATGAGATCATCAGGGGGTGTCAGGAGCTAGAGACCTTCATCCTAAAGCACGACCAGGGTTTGGTGGACAGCAACATGGCAGCTTCTATGCAGCAGAAGCTCCAGCAAACCCACCAGTATGTGAAGGACTTTGAGAGCAGAATGACTCGGAATCTTGGACCACTGGACTTGCAGAACCAGCTCATCCTCAACACAGGCAACTTCCCCATACCTCAGCTCACTGTATCACTGACAGTCAAGATGCCAGTGATAATTGACAGGCTTAAGTCATGCGTGAAATCCAACACTGTGCATCTGTGTTGGGATGTTGCAGGCCAGCAGGAGCCAGATGAACAGTTTGAGATCCACATAAAAAGCCTTCATCCAACCACTAATGAACATGGCGAGTTTACTAAATCTATATGCCAGTCATACAACATACAGGTCACAGACCTGCAACCTGACAGGTACTATCAGTTCTCTGTCAAGAGAGTAGATGCTGTCAACTTGGTGTATGGACAGTGGATCGACACCATCACCCTGAAGACCTTGTATATTTCCGAGTAAGAGCAAATTGCCCCATTTTAAACTTTTTTAAGAGAATGAAGAGAATTCACACCCTGTGTATACTTACCAAGAGAATATATTTGAACTGCTGTACTGCAAATAAAATAACTTGTAGGATTTATTGAACTGAAAACTGTTAAACGTGTGATAAAATAGTTGGCCAAAATAGAACTCTTGGTGGAAAATGAAGCTGAAAAATTAAAAATACACACACACAGAACATACAAATTATTAGATAAAACCTGGGCAATTACAAAACATTTCTAGATTGACACAATAGGTACTTTTGATTCCTTCGATGATTTTGTTTTTGATTATTACCACCTGTTTGCTTTTTGTGAGTTAGGGGACCAGCTTAATGAGGACAACTGACTGTATATAAAGATGGATGACATGACAGCTCCCCAGAAATGAAGCTAAAACATCTCACAATACAATATTCAGTGTTTTCATTAGTGTATAATCACCTGGAAAATAGAATTGTTGTGTTTTTGTGCAGATCCTCTTCTGGCGGCGTATGCCATGCTGAACTGCTATGTTTTTCTAGTACAGAATGGAAAAACCAAACAGTGGCTCTAGATAGGGCCTTTTGTGTTTCCCACTCCCTCACGATTCTTATCATTATGCACTAATGAATAGAAATATTATATTAAATTTCTGCTGATAGATCATCCTAAATGTTACACACTGGATCTT